CAACTGGTAACAGTGTTGAAAATAATTGAAAGTTGTTACTACTCCAAGTTCACAAAACCTATTTTATTAGTGATAGATAAGCCAAATATATATATGTATATATTTATTGCTGGTAATTTCTAAATTAAGCACATTTTACTTAATAATTTAAAAAGTACATCATTTTGGTGACTAAACACAAATATATAAATGCAATTCCAGAGGTGAAACTAAGTACATCCAAGTACAGAACATAAGTTTTCTAACTTCTCACTTTGCCATCTGTGTCTAATGCTAAGACACTAGCTTTTAACTTATATCTGCTTCTTTTCCACAGACATCTTCCAGTGATAAGTTGCAATGAATGTGTGGATCGATGATACTATTAATGGCTTACTTTCCCCTTTAGGACATCTGTAAAGCTCTGTGGTGTCATCGGATTGGACGGAAATGTGAGACTAAATTTATGCCAGCAGCAGAAGGCACTGTTTGTGGGCATGACATGGTAAGCGTCTAATCTTAGGCTCATAGCATCCAATTCAAAAGATGCTAAAGTCTTTGTCTTTCCAGCCATGGCTAGTACCTTGTCTTGCACGGGTTGGTATGTTTTCTACCTGTCTTCTCAGATATGTTTGCATTCCCACACCCAGGCCATGTCACCATATTTATTTAGTGTTAATTTTAGAAAGAGTGCTCTCTTGTTTCATACTTTTCTGATTATATAATTGATGAGTTATCAGGCGATGGTGGTTGCTGTTAGGTGCTGTTGAGTTGGTTCTGACCCACAGTTACTCTATGTAGAACAGCACAAAAACCCCCCAGGTCCTGCATCAATCTCACAACTGTTGTTATACTTGAGCCATTGTTGCTGCCACTGTGCTAATCCATCTTGAAGCTGGCCTTCTGTTTTGGTGTCCCTCCACTATACTGAGCATGATGTCCTCCTCCAGGGACTTGTCCCTCTTGATAATACATCTGAAGTATGAGAGATGAAGTCTGGCCAGCTTAGCTTCCAGGAGGACTTTGGTTATACTTCTTCAGAGTTGTTCACTCTTCTGGCAGTCCTTTATTTAATATTTTTCTTTAACACCAGAACTCAAATTCATCAATTCAGCCATATCAGGCAATAAGCCATGGTACTGGGTCTTTTCACTGTTCGCTGAATGTTCATTTCAGTCACTTATTTGCACATCGTTTAACCATGTACAGGCATCAGCATTAAAGAGCACAGCTGAAGATCATGGAATAGATGATTTCCGTCTATTGTTCTCCGTTCCCTGGGTTGGAAGATGGTAAAGCTATGATGTTGTTGTTGTTGTTAAGTGCCGTCGAGTCAGTTCCGACCCATAGCGACCTTGTACAGGGTTTCTGAGGGTGTAAATCTTTACGGGAGTAGAAAGCCTCATCTTTCTCCCGCAGAGCACGCTGGTAGTTTCGAACCACTGACCTTAAGGTTCACAGCCCGATTCGTAACCACTACGCTACCAGCGCTCCTTAAAGCTATGATAGAGAAATACAATAAGTTATTAAGACAGTAAGTTCACTAATTAATGGTGACAATGACAATTTTTTCACTAAAATATTAAAAATAAATTATATGAAGATTCAATACTATTAATATTATTCCTTCTTATTTAATCCAAGCTTACATTGCTTTCTTAGAGTATTTATGAAGTCTGAAATATATTGGACCCATATATATTTCAGTGTAATCATCCTCACTCTATATCTGTCCATTATTTTTAGTGGCGCTAATTTCCCAATTGCATCTCAATGTCAAGAAAACAAAAATCCTCACCACTGGACCAATAAACAACATTCTTATCAACGGAGAAAATATTGAAGTTGACAAGGACTTCATTCTTCTTGGATCAACTACCAACATTCTCGGAAGCAGCAGTCAAGAGATCAGATGATGTATTGCATTGGGCAAATCTGCTACACAGGAACTTTTTAAAGTATTGAAGAGCAAAGATGTCAGCTTGAGGACTAAGGTGTGCCTGACCCAAGCCATGGTATTTTCAATAACCTCATATGGATACGAAAGCTGGACAGTGAATAAGGAAGACCATAGAAGAATTGATGCCTTTGAGTTGTGGTGTTGGAGGAGAATACTGAAAGTGCCATGGACTGCCAAAAGAACCAATAGATCTGTTTTGGAAGAAGTGCAGCCAGAGTGCTCCTTGAAGGCCAAGATGGCTAAGCTTCATCTCTCATACTTTGGACATATTGTCAGGAGGGAACAGTAACTGGAGAAGGATGTCATGCTGGGTAAGATGGAGGGTCAGAGAAAAAGAGGAAGACCCCCAATGATATGGATCGGCCAGGTGGCATCATTGATGGCATCAAATGTGGCGGCGGTAGTGAGATTGGCCCAGGATTGGACATTGTTTTGTTCTGCTGTGCATGGGGTCGCTATGAGACAGTTCTGACTCGATAGCACCTGACAACAACAATTTCCCTGATGTGGCACTGTAGGATAAGCAAAGTTGGTGGTTCAAACCTACCAGTCACTCCTTAGAAAACTTATACAGGATTTCTAGGGGTCAAAACTGACTCAAAGCACTTAGCAACAATAGTTGTCCTTGCATGGTGTGAACAATTTACACTTAATTACTCTCCAAAAGGTTAGCAGTTCAAGCCCACCAAGTGGCACCATGAATTAAAAGTCTGGTGATATGCTTCTGTAATGATCGCAGCCAAGAAAACACAGTGGAACACAGCAAAACAGCAGGTGTCAATGAGTCAGAATCAGCTAGGTAGCAACGACCCTGCTTTTGATTTCGAATATGAAAAAGAGATAAGTGCATAAATAGCATTGATCTGTTATATTTATGGTGTCTTGGTGTGGCGCTGTGGGTTAATATGCTGCACCGCAAGGTGGTCGGTTTGAACCACAAGTTTGGCAGTTCAAGCTCATCAGCCACTTCTTGGAATCAACTCAACGACACTGAACAACAACGCCAGTATATTTAAATTCCAAAAGAAATATTTCCTATTTTAAACACATTTAAATGTGAGTACAGACATAAGGTAATTCAACTATTTACACGCAATGCTAAGCTATATTTTAAAGTTAAATAACTGGAATACTAACAGAAAATGAAGATAAGTTAGGTAAAATTACTTAAAAATAGCCGTTAGCAACAGTTCATACCGGGCCCATCATTAGAACCCTGATAATGGATGGAGAATGGCTTGAGATGAGCAGAGACAGTATGTCTATAGTAATATGATTGCTGAAAATCATTTAAATTGCTATCAAGGAGAAAAGTTAGTAGAAGTAATACAGCTCTATCACCTAGAATGCACCAAGTACTCTGCAATATTCCAAAATATTGTCTTCCAGTTCCATGACTTTGGACCAGCCTGCTGTGAAGAAAGTGATTTCCTGATTCAATGATTTCATTATTGAAGGGAGACACAGTTTTGTCTGTTCATTGGCCACATTGATGTGAGGCATTCAAAACCTGTTCAAAACCAGGGCATCGAAAGCCTCCTGGACCATCTTTGATGTCTTAGTTTTGCCCAGCCTTCTCTCTCCTCTACCCCTTGAGTCTTTCATGATCCTGGCTCCCTTTGCTTGTCCAGAGGATAAGTCAGCCCTGAGTCTTCTGCCAAGCTGTTGTGTGTGTCCTCCAACTGCTCCTTCAGCCGTCTGGAAAACCCAGGTATCTTCAAAGAAATCCATTTTCACTTCAAATCCAGGACCTCTTCCATGAGTGCCTAGTTCTGCCAGGAGTGTCCCTCCAGCCAGGAATGAATATGGCATCGTGCAACTTTATCCTCAACAGCTGCATCACTGACCACATATCACCTCTCCATTTTCAATTCAGGAGCTTCATTCTGAGACTTCACATCTTCCTCTGTATCTTCAAACAAGATTACTTTTCCTACAAATACCTCCTGGGTCTTCAACTTGATGATACCTGCTTTCATGTTTGGTATCACCTCTATTAACAAATCGCTCACCTGATGATTATAAAAGCAAAACATCTGAGCAACAACAGCAGATACACTTGACTTGTCTTTACTCTCCCTGATCCTTTCCTCACCCAGCAGGAGTTGACCTTGATCGGTTGTCTGCGCAAGACTCTTGTTGAAATCAGGAAGCTGTCACAAGACCAGGAGTCTCTTTGTCAGGCACTGGCTGCTCGCCATTGAACCAAGTGACACTTTCTCATTTGGTGTGAGAACAGGTAGTAATGGAAGAGGGAATTTGCTGTTGCTTACAGTGAAGAATCAAAGAATTGAATGAAAATTACAGAGGTTTTAAATTCCATTTTCTTGGTTAAATTGTATAAGCTTGAACCATTTAAAGTTGCCAACTTTTGTGTCAAAACAGTCAAATATCAGTGAGGACATATGTTTTAACACAGCACATCAGTTAATAATTTGGTGTTATTGTGTGTTGCCACCAGTCGTTCCCAACTCATGGAATCCTCACGTGTGTAGAAGAGAGCTACGCCATAGGGTTCTCAAATCTGTGGTCTTTCAAAAGCAGATCACCAGACTCAGATATCTCTGGTGAATTCCAAAACCCAACGTCCTAACTAATAGTCAAGCATTTAGTCATCTATGCCACGCAAGTATTTTTATTTTCTTTTTACTAAAGCAGTATTTTTGTCCACGGTAGAAATCTGATTGATTTAATCATAGAGACAGAAATCTTGACCTCCTCAATCTCCTCAGAAAGCCTGAAAGGCCCTGCCCATTCTGCTGAAACCAGAGGCGAGGGGCAAGCAGCTTTTTCCCATTCTCTCAAAGAAGCCTAGGCCCCTGAGATCCCTGAAACCACAGGAGGACAGACCAGTGCTGTGGAACACAATGCCAAACATCACATGTCAAGTATGCGTAATGAGTTTGGTGTGAATTATTATTGATAACATTTGAGAGAGAGGGGAGTTGATTGCATCTCTAGTCCCTGTGGAAACAGAAAGGGTCGTCTATATGGATGTTTCATCTTCTGGAAAAGCTGTGTGGTCTCTGACATGTCTTCAGACAATAACTTCCTGACAGCGAGTCCAGGGGACATGAAATGAAAGCGTAGAGTCTCTAACCAGAAATGACAACGTGTTGAGGAAATGACTTGGCCCACGCCTGGAGTTTCCCATCTGAAACTCAAGAGATCTCTGAACGTGAATATGAGAAGCATCTTGTTTTCAGGAGAGGTTAGAGCTGCTGACTTGAGAGTGGAACAATGGGACTGGATGATTGGGTAACAGTCCTTACTTAAATGTGGACAGCTATTTGAGCGCAGATGTTTGAAAATGATTTTTCTATTGATTTGACTGTTATGTGAAATCAAGGAATCCCTTTTGGCACAGTGCTTAAGTGTTCAGCTGCTAATCGAAAGGTCATTGGTTCAAATCCACTAGCAGATCTACTGGAGTAAAACTTGGTGATCTGTTCCCATAAAGATTACAGTCTTAGAAACTCTTTGAGGCAGTTCTACTCCATCCTGTAAGATTGCTATGAGATCTAACTGACGCAGTTTACATACAACATGTTGACATTCAATCCCATGTTGAATTAGGTGCTGTGGAATGATGCTAGGTTTGGGGGTGAGAAGGGGAAAAGGAACATTCAATGTACTTGTTTATGTATGACCTTGAAGCTTGTTGTTATGTGCTGCAAGACAACTGGGACTCATAGAGACCATCAGTACGAAAGAAGGAGCCGTTATCTAGTCCTACACCATCTCAACCATTGCTGTGTTGAGTCCACTCTTACAGCCACTGTATCAGTCCATCTTATTCAGGGTCTTCCTCTTTTTCACCAGCCCTCTGCTAAGCATCGTGTCCATCTCCAGGGAACGGTTCCTTTTGATTACATGTCCAAAGTACATTAGACAAAGTCTCACGATTCTTGCTTCTAAGCAGCCTTCTGGCTGTACTTCTTCCAAGACATGTTTGTTTCTGCTTCTGAGAATCCATGATACTTTAAATATTCTTCACCAATCCATGATACTTTAAATAATATATTCTTCACCAATAAGGAGCTCTGGTAGTGTAGGGGTTATGAGGCGGGCTGTCAACCTCAAGGTCAGCAGTTCGAACCTGCCAGCTGTTCCACGGGACAAAGATGAGGTGTTCTGCTCCCGTAAAGATTTACAGCCTTGGAAACCCTGTGCAGGGTCCCTATGAGTCAGAACCAACTCCAGGTACTTAACAACAACAACAACAACACCATAACTCAAAGACATCCATTCTGCTTCAGTTTTTCTTCCCCATGCATATGAGACCATTGAAAATATCATGGCTTGAGTCATGTGCATTTTACTCCTAACGTGACATCTTTTTTTTTTTTTTTCTTTTTCTTCTTTTAACACTTTAAAGTCATTTACAGCAGATTTGTCCAATACAGTACATCAATTAACTTCTTGAGGTCTACTTCCATGGGCATTCATCGTGGATCCAAATCAAATGAAATTCTTGATAATCTCCATCTTTTCTCCATTCATCATGATGTGCCTTGAGAGTAGGGATGCTCATGTGTGCATATTTTACAAAAATCCCCAGAACTCAGCCTGACACTAGTGATTCGGTGAAGCAATCCATCTAGACTTGACTCATGGAAACTTACTACTGTTATTATGTTTTTATTTCAGTGGTGCCGTGGAGGGCAGTGTGTGAAATATGGTGACAAAGGCCCTAAGCCCACCCACGGCCATTGGTCAGACTGGTCTTCTTGGTCCCCGTGCTCCCGAACCTGTGGAGGAGGTGTCTCCCGTAGAGACCGCAGCTGCACAAATCCCAAGTATGTACTACTGCCGTCTCTATGCCAAGAATCTCCCAAACCCCCGCCTATGCCTAAGCTTGATCAGATGAGCTCTCTACTATATACACTATTGTAAGGTACACTCTGTGATTGAATTTTTTTTTAAGTTCTTATTGTGAATTGAGTGATGATTTACATGGGAGAACATTAGTTTTACACTCACCCTATCATATTTCATTTCATTGAAATGATTACCATCCCCTCTGTGCATATCATTCAACAACATTTGCTTCTATTCTACCTTTTTAATGTACACCAAAACACTCAGGAATACATAATAATTTAAGCAACCAAAAGGCACATTCTGTAAGCCTGCCTCCTGGCTGCTAGCACATAGCGTTTCTCTTTCCATGAGTCTAGAGTCCTCAACTGCTCCATTTCACCACATCATCATCTCTGCCTATATCTCTGGTGTCGCTGCTTCTCTGGATAGGGTCCCACATTCTGCTGGTGCTCCTCTCCCTTGATAGCCCTAGGGTCCTCTGTTCCTGGATTGTAAGATTAACAACTCCTGTGTTTTGTTACAAAACTTCGACCTTTACAATTGTGATGATTGCAATTGGTCATGATAACAATTATTCACCATTGAATCATAAGAATCTTATCCCCATCTCCTTTCACCAGACCCATCTAGACACGATGAAAACTATTCAGTGGGGATTCTACCTTCCCCCACACAGTCTAAAACTAAACTCCCTCTTGCAAACTTGCAAGCCAGTCATTTCATGCCTTTATAGCCACCACATTTTAGGTAGCCAATGTCTAAGTTGCCCGTCCCTATCTACCCTGTGTACATAGGGGATAAGAACGATGTGATCGAATTTTAAGTGATTATAACTACCTGGCCACAGCAAAAGAGTTACAGACTTTACAGTAATTTATAAAAATCAGGTTTTAATCATATTTACTTGAAATGCCGAAGATTTCCTTGAAAATAAAGCAATGGCCTCCTTTTCTAAGCCCAGAAGAATTAGATGGTGTCTGGCTAAACATTTTGATCAAAGACTCTATAGAAAAATCCTGACCAAAATGGGGGAAATGTAGGAGAGTGTTTCAAATTTTCATGTAAAACAGAATTCTGGATTCCAGGAGACTGGATGAACTCCTAAAACTATTTCCCTGAGATGATATTTAAACATTTTTCTTTAAACCAAAAAATCACTTTTAGTCTTCTTTAAACTAAACAATCATTTCTTAAAATCTACCTGCTGTTGTTAAGTGCCATTGAATGAATTCTGGTTCATAGTGACCCTGTGCACAACAGAATGAAACAATGTCTAGTCCTGCTCTAGCCTCACATTTGTTATTATGTTTGAGCCCATTGTTACTGCTATTGTGTTAACTCATCTCCTTGGAAGTCTTCCTGTTTTTCATTGACCTTCCACTTTACCAAACATGATGTCCTTTGCCAGGGACTGATCATTCCTTACAAAGAACAAGACACAAAGTCTTGCCATCTTTACTTCTAAGGAGCATTGTGGCTGTACTTCTTCCAAGACAAATTTGTTTGTTATTCTGGCAGTCCGTGGTACTTTTAATATTCTTCTGCAACACTGTAATTCAGATGCACTATACTTCTATGAACTTCCTTGTTAATTGTCCAACTTTCAAATGCAATCTGAGACCATTAGAAATATCATAACTTGGGTCAGACATTCATTAGTTCTCAAACTGACATCTTTTCACTCTAACACTATAAAAAGATATTTTGTAACAGATTTACCTAGTGCAATACATCGTTTGATCTTTTGACTGCTGCTTTCATGAGTGTTGATTGTTAATCCAAGCAAGATGAAGTCTTTGACAACTTCAATCTTTTCTCCATTTATCATGTTATTTATTGATCAAGTTGTGAGGATTTTCTTTCCTGTACATTGAGGTGCAATCCATAAAGGTGAAGGTTGTATTCTTTGACAGTCATCAGGAAAATTTTCAAGTTCTCTTCACTTCCAACAAGCAAGGTTGTATCATCTCCACACCAAGGTGGTTAGTGAGCCTTCCTCCTATCCTGATGCCATGTTCGCCTTCATATAAGCCAGCTTCTTGAATGATTTGCTCAGTGCAGATGAAATAAGTATGTTGTTAGGATGCAACCCTGGCACATGCCTTACCTGATTTTAACCCTTTCAGTATTTCTTTGTTCTGTTCAAAAGACTTCTTATGAAGGTTGTTCATGACCACAGCTTATGTTGTTATAGAAAGGTATTTGCAATGAATAATTCAGTTGTTGTTGTTAAGTGCCAATGAGTTCATTCCAATTCATAGAGACCCTCTACAGGGTTTCCAAGGAATGGCTGGTGTTAGAACTGCTGACCTTTTGGATTGCAGTCCAGTCTTATCTTACAGTGCCACACCAGAGCTCACTGAAAAAGTCATTGTTGTTGCCAGGTGCCATCGAATCAGTACCGAAATATAGCATCACTATGCACAACACAATGAGACACAACCAGTCCTGCACCAATCCCACAATCATTGCTACATTTGATTCTCTTGCTACTGCCATTATGACAACCCATCTCGCTGGGTGGCTTCCTCTTTTCTCTGTCTTCCACTTTACCAAAAATGGTATCTTTCTCCCAGGACTGGTTCCTCATGATAATATGTCTGAAGTATGAGAGACAGAAGTCTGGCCATCCTGACTTCCAAAGAACATTGTGGCTGTACTTCTTCCAACATAGAAGAAGTACACTTTGGTTCTTTTAGCAGTCCATGGTTCTTTCAATATTCTCCTCTAACACCATAACTCAAATGTTTATCAATTCTCCTGCAGTCTTCCTTATTCGCTGTCCAACTCTCTCATGCATATGAGGTTATTGAAATTCCATGGCTTGGGTCAGGCATTACCTATGTGGGATCAAACTGACAACAGAAACTTCAAAAATTGTATGGGATGCTTGTGGTTGTTGTCAAGTCCTGACTCATAGAAAAAACCTGTGTAGGGTTTCTGAGGAGCTGCTGGTGAGTTTGAACTGCTGACTTTGTGGTTCAAACCAACCTTGAGGTTGAACCTTGAGGCACCACACCAGGACTTCTATGAGATGTTCGGTGTTGTTTATAAGTGTTGTTGAGTTGGTTACCACTCATAGTGAACCTGTATAGGGTTTTCAAGAAACAGCTGATGGATTTGAACCACCAAACTTGGCTTCAAACCAACCTACAGTCAAGTGTTTATCCTACAGTGCCACACCAAGACTCCATGGAATGTTTTGTTGTTGTTAAGTGCCATTGAGTCAGTTCCGACCCATAGCAACCCCATATAGAGTTTCCACGGAGCAGCTGGGGAGCTTGAACCACCAACCTTGTGGTTCAAACTGACTTTGCAGTCCAGCGCATTAACCCACAGCACCACACCAGGACTCCTATGTCATTGGTCGAATTGGTATACATGCTTCTGTGTGTACTGTTATTTTTGCAGGTTGTCAGTGACACTGAATACTATCCTTAATAACCAAAAAATATTAATAGCATTAATAGATGATGAGATAATATGGAACATAAATGATTACAAATCAGCATAAGCATTTTGTGTCCTCTAATTCCATTTATCTTGATAATGTGTGGTTTGATTATTTAACCACCTCTTTTAGAAAATAAGTATGTTAAAAGCAATTATCGATATGATGGATTGAAAACATTTTGAAGTTATTCTTTTACACCCAGCTTTGTTTAAGAAATATTGTCACTTGTTATTTTTATCCTGTTTCTAAAATGTTAAGAGAAAGTTCCCAATAAGTCACCCTTGGCATAGTCTGTTGGAAATTGTGGTTGGTGTTTGGTGCCATTGTCAACCAGTGAAAGCAAATGTTCCTTCACACTTGATCTTGGTGTCCTTCTCTTGTCACAGGAGGCTGGCAGTGGAAAGAGGGTGAGATCTGGAAAGTGAATATGGATTTCAGTTTCTGTGCTCTCTGTAAAATATATAATCCTGTGAAAGCCAGCACGGTCCTCATCCCTGGAATGAAGGAATGAAGATGCAAACCTGCCTTCAGGGGGTGGCGGGAGGCAGCAGAGAATCAGTGCATACAAGGCCACTTTCTGTGTGCCAATGTAATAAATAATACAATCAATCAAAAAGAGAAATGCTACCCATTTCATTGCTACATAAGAAAGTGTCAAACTTCTTGGAAGCATGCTGTACCTAGGCACTCTAAACAACTTGATGAGCCCCACTCCTCTATGAAGTCTAATTTCAAGGATTGGGTGAACGACTGATGAACTGTAAAGGTTCTAACTGCTGAATTTGCATTCCAGACCGTCCCACGGAGGAAAATTTTGTGAGGGTTCAACTCGTACTTTGAAGCTTTGCAACAGCCAGAAATGTCCTCAAAATAGTCCCGACTTCCGAGCCATGCAGTGTGCAGAATACAACAGTAAGGAGTTCAGAGGGTGGCATTACAAATGGAAGCCGTACACACAAGTGGAAGGTAAATCTCCACCCCATTTTCTACTAGCAACCTGATGTGGTCTTACCTCTAGTCTTGAAAGGATCACACCATTGAGAGTGTGGCTTTCAAGCAGATGAAAGATCACCACTGAGGTCAATGTCATGGATCCTGTTTTCTTAGTTTGAGATTCATTTGATGTTTCCTATCCTGTAGTTGCTAACCTCTTGCCTAAACTTGCCAAACTGCTTGTTGATAAAGTAACAAGTCTATTGAAAATGTATGTATAGCGAGAGGAAAATTCAGAGAACTAGTACCCAAAATTCCAAGTACTTTGTGAATTATGAATAGATCAACTATTCGTAATAAAAGTCACATTAGTGATTTTGATTTTGCTATAAGCATGTCACTCAGTGAAGATTTATAATTACGAGGGTAAGACAAAAAGCATTATCACTAAGTTTCCAGTTCATACATGCACTGATTTATTCTAAACAACATGTTTAAATGTTCATAGTTTTGATATTTTTAAGATCAATGAATGGCTGCACACAAGGTCTCTGAGTAATGCAATCGTCTTAGTCTCATCAGGGTGCCTTCAAAAAATAGGGATTCATAATTTAAAAATAAAACAGTTTTTAGATAGATCAAACATCTTAAGAATGGTTCTGAAGACCTCAAAGATGAGCCATAAGTTGGAAGACCCTCAACGTCAGTAAATGAAGAAACTACAGCTACAGTCCAGAAACTAATTAAAGAAGACTGTATACTTACCATCGAGTTGATAGCTACAGAATTTGGGATCTCACATAGTTTAGCATTATCAAGTTCTTCCGATTATTTTCAGCATTTTCTAGTTTAAGTGAACACCCTAACCTCAAGAAGCTTTTGCCTCCATGGGTCCAAAAATGATGCAAAAAGCATGTCATCAGGATTGGAGGAAGACTCATTAACAACCTGTGATATGCAGATGATAAAATCTTGCTTGCTGAAAGGGAAGAGGACTTAAAATACTTGCTGGTGAAGATCAAAACCACAGTCTTTGATATGGGTTGCACCTCAATATAAAGAAAACAAAAATCCTTACCTCTGGACCAATAAATAACATTAAGATAAATAGAGAAAGACTGAAATTGTCAAAGACTTCATTTTGCTTGGATCCACAATCAACACTCCTGGAAGTCAAGACATCAGATGACATTTTGCATCAGGCAAATCTGCTGCACAACACTTTTTAAAGCGTTCAAGAGCAAAGATATCAGTTTGAGGACTAAAGTATGCCTTATTCAAACTATGGTATTTTCAGTAGCCTCCTATGCATGTGAAAGTTGGACAGTAAAGAAAGAAGCCCATAGACGTATTGATGCATCTTAGTTATGGTGTTGAAGAAATTTTAAAGTTCCATAAGAACAACAAAAAAAATCTGTATATGAATCAATACAGCCAGGTTGGCTCCTTAGAAGCCAGGATGGCCAGTATGACACTATGTTCTCATACTTCAAACATATTGTCTTGGGGGACATCATGCTTGGTGAAGAGGGTCAGTGAAAAAGAGGAATACTACCAATGAGATGCATTGGCACAGTGTCATCAGCAATGGGCTCAAGTGCAGCAGCAATGGAAGGGTTGGCACACGATCGGGCAGCATTTGTTTATGTCGAGCATAAAGGCACTATGACTGGATGGTACCTAACAACAACAACAACACACCAACTTTGACCTCCATTAATCCCATAAGCAAACAGAAAATTTGACTCTTGGAATTTTTCAGCAGGGTCTCATTTCACACAATAGGAACATATCTGTAGATGAGCCTTGGACTTATGAGAACGTCTATGACAATAATAAAGAATTTTGTCTCCCAAATGAATTCTTCTTCACCCAGAGAACCAAAGACAAAAGGTCTTCTTTACTGTTAAAGTTCACTACAGCAGCCTTGGTGGTACAAACAGAGCACAGCTATTCATTGGAAGTTTGACTGTTAGAACCCAGCCAGAGATCTTGGATGAAAGGCTT